CCCCAAAACCCCAAAACCCCAAAACCCCAAAACCCCTTTTAAAGGAAATAATAAATATGGAAGAAAAGAGGAGTAATTACGGTCAGATTGCTTCATCTGAGAAAAATACTGGCAAATATAAAGAAGGTAATCCTCAAGCTGCTGACAAATCAGAGCATCATTTAAGAAGAAAGAGCGGCAAGAAGCAGCCAAATAAAAATAAATGCAGCAGCCCTCCTACCGCTCAAACTAGTAAGACAAAGAAGAGAAAGGGAGCAGACAAGACCCTCAATAAATCCAGGAAAAGACTCAAGAAGCAAGAGAGCTTATCAGAACTTAGTATCACTAGCTCTGATTCACCAGAGGAAGAAGTCAAATTAGAGAAAGAATCCGATAGTTGTGATGAGAGCAAATAATGGAGACGTGCTTAGCAAGGAGAAGCAAACCCTTCTCCTTTTGAACCAAATTCTTCTCAGTACTAAAAAGTTTTCGACTGATAAAGTTGTTAATTTTGAAGAGATAGTGAATGAGTGCCAAATTTTAGATGACCCTTACCATTGTAAAGAGCTTTATCATGAATTTAAGAATTATCTTTTAGGGTCTCCTGTTACATCGAAATTTGAGAATAATTGAAAGAGTGTTATTCTTAATCCCACTTCCAGCAAAACTGTCACTTCTCTGCCTTTGAGGCTTAAACAACATAAGCCTGAGTATGATAAGTTCCTTCAAATTGAAGAGAAGTTTACTAATGATGTAATTAATGCATACACCAACTTGAAATCTGATGTTAATCTCATGAAAGAATTTTCGAAACTCGAGAAAATTACCGATAATTTTTTGAGCCATCTCACGGAGGACGTGGAAAGGAATGCATATTTTCAGGATAATCCCAAAGAGCCTGAGAGTAATCTTGAACTTTTGATGAATTCAATTGCCATCGGGAATAAATTGAGAGAAAAATCTCTGAGCCATAACCTTCCCCCCAATATGGTAAAGGACAACCCTGATCTGCCATCTTTAGTCAGCTTGCTCCCCATCAACCCTAAGCCGAGATGCCCATCTCCGCAAGAGTCTGAAGGCGAGGGCGAAGATGAGGGAGATGATGAAGATGACGAAGAGTCCATATCCGATTACTTTGCTGGTGTTCGCCATGAGAAGAAGCCATTTTTGAAAAATCAACCTCCACAGAACATGATTCGTCCAAAGAACTTCAGTATGACCAAGCAGAAGTATGGGTCAGCTTCCTTTAGAAAGAAGGAGCAGAAGAAGCCTGTCAGAGACCCAGATTTTAAATTCTTTGAGATTATATAATGGTCATCCGTCTTCATAGCTGAATCATAATAATATTCGTACGAGCATAAGTTTATGATCTCTTAACCCGTAATAATAACATAGTCCGAACTATTTAAGTTCTATATTTGACGATTGAGCTTTCAAAATTACCAGAAATAGTAATAATTAATTCTATCATCACCAGAGCTATTAAATGATTTTAAAAGTTGGATCACGCTACTTTTAGGTCACATAGTCGAATGGTGAGATATTAAGTATTTTTGGCTTATAAAATAGTTAAAGTGTTTATCATTGTGGAGTCCCGTCTGATTTCATAGCTCTTTCTCATACCCTCTATACCATTATTATATCTACAATATTATTAACTAGGCATGGGGTTTTGGGGTTTTGGGGTTTTGGGGTTTTGGGGTTTTGGGG